CCCACGTAGCTGTTTCACCGTTATCTTCTTGCCTTGTATGGAACATTGCCAATTAAATGAATTAAACAGCAATCTTAGATTGAAAAGCAATAATAAATGCATCAAGTATAAATGGCGTAGATTTTTTTTTCTTCTTAATTTTATTTATTGATATTTTTTTATTATTTTATTTTTGTACTCTACTTCCTTGCTGTTTAACCTATACGGGGTTTTCTCGGGTCAGGATTTTTATTTATTATTATCATATTTCTTTTAGGTAATTTGATCCATACACATCTATAAATTATTTTTTTTTTACTCTTAAGGCTCTCTCTCTCTTTTTTTTTTTTTTTTTTTTTTTGTCCTCCCCTTCCTCGCCTCTAAGGCTATACGGGGGTTTTCCCGGGCCAGGGAGTTTGGGCAGGGATTTAAAAACTCCGGGCACCGGGACGCGAACTCGTGACTATTTTTTTTATACTTAAATGTATTTAAGGCTATAAACATATGTTTTATATTCAACTTCTTCTTTAATTCAAGTATAATAAAATATTTTTATAGAATTTCATTAAAAATTATTGTTATTTATCTTTTTTTCTTTTGTTTCAAGCCCTGTAATATTGCACAGTCCAGAATATTTACAATACTGTAAACTTGCTCTTTAAAAACAAAAAGCAAGACGAATAACATGTAAATGTTTTTTTGCAATGTATCGTTGTGGTGTAATGTAGACCGCATAATTGTTTAGCATCGATTTATTATTAACTTGGTTCCATGTGGAAGAGAATTGGAACACACGTATCTTATACTTACAACCAATTAATCATTTCCCAACATATTGTCGATATCATGTTAAATTAAAGAATGTGCAACGTTAAACAGGTTCAAATTCGTTACATTAATATGGTGCCGAAGATATTATTACACATACTGCTGTTATTTTTATTAAAGAGGTCAACAGTCACTGAAATATAAAACATTATTTTTCATACTTATAATTTTTAAAAGCTTTTTTTTAAAAAAAAGTAGGGATATTATCGACATCCATGAGTAATGCTCTTCTGGAGTGAAATAGTGAAAGCCACTCTTTTGCAACAGAAACAAGTCACAGACCAGTCGCTCTCTTCTCAATCCAGCTTCTTTGGCACAATTATGATCCGGGGCGTTATCCACAAAAATATCTAATATGCAGTCGACCGATAGTATTTGTATATTTTTAAGTATAGTTACCAACAATGAAGAGTTGTACCATAATTTATTTTTGTCATTATGCCAAATCAAACAACAGATGTAAGGGATATACCAGGAAATCTAATTCTATGTTTTATTTTTCAGGTGAGTGATTTTAGAAAGCAGCTGCGATCAAAACTGGTTCAAAAGCAAATAAGTATGATTTTTTAACGTTAATTAAATGTATATAAGTCATAAAATATATAATTGCATCAATCAATAAAGTCATAACATGGTTGATGATAATCCACTTAAAGTTGTTAATTGTTCTTTCCTTTATTAATGAAATCAGGTTACATTATATACATAATTTTATTTACATACAATATATACATCAACACATATTGTAAGAAGAACTCAGTATAAAATTAAATTAAATTTCCAATGAATACATATTATGCCTAATGAATGCATAATGCATTGTTCTTTCATTGGTATGTGTACGTTTTGATTAAAAAAATCCATACAAAATGATTTATTTTTCGATTATTTCCAAAGTGAAGCCTAATTCCTTTTTTTTTGTAAATCGAGCTAAGCATCGATACCCATGTAAAAACAATCTATGAACCAAATGGTGCAATACTTTTTGTTCAAAAAATAATAAAAAAAAAATGAAAAGAAGGATGGTTTGTGTGATCGGTCATAATAAAAATAGCAAAAATAAATAATAATATTCAGAGATTGCTCTGCAATCGATTGCTTCGATCCGCCCTAATGAATGAAGGCATGAACTTCGGGTCTAAACGTCGGCAAATGTTAAAATAAATACTATTATTTATTTTTGCCATTTTTAATTTGACTTATCACCCCAAACATCCTTCTCTTTATTATTCACTACAGTCAACCATAAACCCACAATTATAATCTTTAAAAAAGTGGAAAGAACATTATTTTATGTACGAAAACCGGCTATTTTTTGAAGGAATGTGATGAAAATTGTATTTCTTAAGTATTCTTAAAAAAAATCATCATAAGCTTTTTTAACCATTTTATTCATATGTGAATTAAAATAAATTAATATTATTGTACTATTATTGCAAACTAAAATTTAAGTTTTATAACTTTCTCAAACCAATTTTTTTTTTTTTGTTAAAAATGGGGATTGAAGTTCGATTCTTCCCGAAAGCGGACTTATCCAAGTTTCAATGTTTTTTAATTAGTATTGTATTAATATGTTCAACAAATAAATAGCTTCTTAATTTATTTGTAAAACATGTTGGTTTTGATGATACAATTGAAATAAAAAATATAGTTTTTCGTATTTCCTGAAAAATTTTCAATGATTATGATTCACTTTGGAAATAAAAGACTCAAATGACGAATAACAAAAAAAATTCTTAATTCGTGATATTTATATTAAATCGAAAATGTGAATTAAATTTTGAGGTGATTTCTTTAGTAATCGTTTTCTGGATTGAATAGTACACATTTTATTTTATGTTGTTTATTTTAATGAAATTTACAACTGTATTATATTAAAAATAGAACGAGTAAATATGACATTGGTAACACGATATGTACAACATGAAGAGAAACTACCCATTGGTAGAACTCAAGGTACATATTTAAAGATTTGAAATTCCTAAACTCATCGATAGTCCAGTTTAGAGACGGATACCATACCATCGATAAGCTTACTCTTTGCTTAGTACAACCTTAGTCTCCAGGTCATAAACCTAATCAAGACAGAGATGGAATGTTCGAATTAACGGGAGAACTATCATAAATAATCATCACGTACAATAACAACTCCATTCTAGCTTGAATTTCGTCCATGAATGAAATCCTAAGTACGCTACCACCTATATTTTTCATGTCACGGCCGAGTATGTTACGAAAACGCTTATAGAAGTAGAAAGCCATAAGACACCCTTTTCGAAAGCCCCAAACCTGCATCGCCGTTAGCGTAATTACAACTAAGACCAATTCAAGACAATCATTAGGTAACGTTCCTTGATAGAAACGAAAGTGACAGGTGGCCTTGAAGTTTCTGGAATTGGCTCCAGCAATTGGAACACCGTTGCTCATAACCTCGCTGGAATGAGAGCCCTCTTCCGCTCGCTCGGTCAAGAACTACTCAAAAGTGAAATGAAAGGAGAGGCTATTCAGAAGGCCTTCGAACGCTTCTGGCTAGTTGCCTTGAAATTTCTTCTGGGAGGAAGTGAAATACGTCGAATAAAAACCATGTCATAATACGAAATTGATAATCACGTACGCGTGAAAATGCTTACCTTAGGTACCGGAAAAGTGACAATCAATATTAATTCAAGTCTTAAGACCGTTCATTTTTTAAATTAAGTAAAAATTTATCATCGTATGATTATGGTCACTTGATATCATTAGTTTATTGCGCAAAGCCAGGACACTTTTAAAAACGTTATCGAAAATTCTGATCTTATTTATTGATAAAAAACACATCAAATGTAATAAAATTACTCAAACACTTTTATATATCGAATATGGTTACAAAATACGTACGATTTCCTGATTTGACAAAGGAAAAATTCATCTAAGTTTTTAATGATTTAGGATTAGAAAATCTTACTATTTAATGATTTTTGCAATAAAATGAAGATATGATCTCTAATCTGAAGAAATAAAGCAAATGATACTTTATGAATTGTTAAATTAAAATAAGTACGGATAACTACGAAATTGTCACTCCAACATGGTGGATCGACCACAATGACATCAATTAAACTGTAGGTAGAATTTGGAAAGTGGTTTAATGGAGGTAACATGGCCATGGGTGCAGTAATTTTCAAGTTTATTTTTTGTGACGGTAATTATTGAAGAATAAAGATAAATAAATATGTATAAAATAAAGAATAATAATAATAATAATAATATATATATATATATATATATATATATATTAGCATAAATAGTTCTTGTTGAGCTGTTAAAAAAAAAAGTAAAACTGTAATTATAGCAACAGCATTGCATTATGGGGTAATTTTTAAAAATTATTTGGTACCTGTAAATGCGTTAAAATTAAAAAACAACTCTTATTGTGATTTTTTTAATTATTTAGTTCAGATTATTCATAAGAACAGATATGAACAAATGAAAAAAAAATTTGGGAGGAATACTTGAGGAAAAAAAAAACGAAATTACCTCCACCTTTGATGAATCTGCCTGGGTAGGGGTATAACTTCGATTTAATTTCATCTGTTTTTCGATTTAGGTTCGCTAAAAAATAAATAAACTAACAACGTGTCTTTTTAACTTGAGGTCGGTGCCATATCAAACGGACCGACCGCCTCCGATTAAGTTTCCAAGACACTTGACCGATTTCAGAATTGTATAGTTATGTTATCAATGTGATCTTAATCTAGCCACCATGTTAGAGAGACAATTGCGAACTGATGTCTACACATTAAAGATTCAGTAGTCTAGTGCATTGACAACTTAAATTGACCTTACATTCACGAATAATCCATTGATCAATACTTTTTTTTTCATTACTTATGATTTTTATAAATATTAATCTGACAATACTGACTCTGAAAATTTGGGGATCAACTTATTATTTTTGTGCCAACTTCAATAGAACAAAATAACTATTCATCTTAAAAAAAAAAAAAAATTAAGGAACCATGATGAAACTAACTTGATCACTTCAGGTGAACAGTACACTTTGAAGAGTTTGTTTTAATTGCGGGAGAAATTGAAGAATGAATAAAAATATGGACTTAAGAACTTCAACATCGAAAATAAATTTAAATTATTCTGGCAAGTTTCAAACAAATTCAATTTGAAAATGTGAAAAGTGAATTTCTAGGATTTTTAGGTCAAGGGTGATGAGTAAAGTCCACTAGTGAAGAAAGTGGAACGATGAGACAAGACATCAAGTTTCGTTTCTCTCTCTCTGCCTTCGTCACGTGGCTAATCCTTTCCCTAGGTAACCTGCTGTTCCAAGCCAGAGCAGTCTTTAAATACAATAAATAAGCAATTTTATAAGAATAATCAATTATAAATCTTATTAATTAAATTAAAGGACAAGTCAGAAAAATATTACTAAAGTTCATAAAATGATTCCATATAAGTATGAGATTTTTTTATTTATTTATTGAGATGCAAACGGTATTAAATAAAAATACAACAAGTAAATGTGAATTGCTATAATGACATGGATAGACATATATCGATTGGTAGCACTCCAATTATGGTTTTATATTAGAAGGGCTCGATGGCACCTCCTTTTCAGATGGCTAGGAAGATGATCAGGAATCGAAGAGGATGCAAGCTCAGAAACAAGTGGGTTTTGAATGAGCCTTGAGTTTATTATGGAAGGATATGTATCTCGATTTGGGCTGAAGCGGCAACATTGATATCATTATGGATTTTTTTTTTTTTTTTTTGGCAAAGTAAGGAACATTGAGGATTTTGGATTAAAATGATATGAAGAGAATTTCATGGTTTAGTTGCGCCCCAACTCCATAAGTCCAAATAGGTCTTATAATAATCAAATAACTGAATCTTCTAAAGTTAATTGGAAGATTAGGCCGTTTCTGTAGTAACTGGAAAAGTCTAGCAGTCTCTTGGCGTTTCAGTCTTCCATTAGCATATCCAGAATTTCATTTTGGGAGAGGGAGGAGCTTCATCCCGGAAGTATTTTTTTTTTAAATATAATGGCAATTGCTTTGGAAGGAAAAGAAAGAAACTAGCTACTTATACGAAATGGTGTCTAAGTGATTATTTAAGTTCTATTAAATGTAATTACACGAACAATAATACTTATAGAAGTAAGCTAGTCGACTGTTCTACATATCATGGGTGAAACATATACAGGAAGCAGTCTTTTAAAAGTACTTGAAAGCATTCATTGCCCTAACCAGGCCCTGAAGATGAGCCACATGTTTGGGTTGAAACGTTGGCACAAATAAAAAATTATTATTTTTTTTAAGAGTGCGTCCTGATTATTTATCACCAATAATACTTATAGATATATATATATATATATATATATATATATATATATATATATATATGTTTATTCATACGCGTGGTAATATTTTACCATTTTGGGGAGATTCAGCCCGAAAGCCTCCCCTTCTCCGCCTAGATCTGTCTGTGCAGTCTGCTTAAATGAATCCAAGTACAACGTTTCTTCAGATAGAGTACTAGTTAGCAGACCTGTTCAACAGAAATAAGTGGGATATTATTAAAGGATACTGTAGGGGAAGAAATCAATTTATTTTAAACCTCCGATTTCGACACCATTCTTGAGGGTTTGTGATAAGTGACTGAAGAATGGAAGCAATAAATCTGTCATTATTAATTGATAACACTCATGTGTCACAAGGAAAGGTGGTAATCACAGGGTTAGGATAAGTTGTAATGTCAGCTGTATAAACGTGAACAACACCAGAGTACTGAGAAAAGAGGGATGGATAAGCAGCGTTATGATTTACGATAAAGGAAAATGGTAAATATATGTTTGGAATTGTTTTAGACCCTACTTTTCTCCAACTTTAGTTGTACATTGAAGTAGTCGATAGAATATGATAAAGAGATTATCCAGAATGATGGAGAGGATCCCTAAATATGTCATCATATATAGATCAGCGATAGTATGTAACATGTTTATTATCTGGAAACAAAAATTTTTCCTTTATATCTAAAAAAGTAAAACAGGAGCGGAAATTTTCGATAAAAATAAAAAAACATTTTCACTTTGCAATATGAAGAAGCTTAGCTATATCTGGTAAGAAAGATTGTGGGAATAAAAATTGTTTGAGAAGTCTAACTGCCGAATTTGTATCTGAGCGTAGAAGTAAAATTTTCAAATTAGAAACCAACCATGAACTGAATTTTTTTTAAAATCTGATAGAGGTTCCAATGGTTTTAAAAATAATAAATTATTCCGAGGAGTGAAATATGATCCTGGCAGAAACCATTACATGATAGCTTACGTACATACGTTGCCTAGAGAAAGCAAAATAAGAGGCGGTAGGTTTCGCCGCTATGTTGAATTGTTCTGCATGCTCTACATCTTCCAAAGATTTTACGGATGCCTGAAGATTAGGCTTGGAAAGAGACCGATTCTTTACACTACGTACGTGCGTACGTTCCAGGCTGAAATAGTTGCGCAACTAGGACCCATAACCGAAAATCTGATCATCTGAACGACACTTACAAAACCAATTGACAAATGGATAATCTATAATTTTATCCATGAAAAATTCAAAATTCAATTCTGAAAATCACAGGGAGCATTGACGGCTGTATTATACAGGGTGTTCCACAAGTAGAGGGAAATTTTTATAGAAATGATAGCAGACCTCAAGGCTACAAAGAAAATTTATACAAACAATGGTCCAATTTCCAGCAGTAAAGTAGAAAATCCAAGTTTTGGGTATTTTTAGGTAAGTCGAGTTTTTTGTCGTATAGGAAACGATATAAACTAAAGAAATATTCAATTCAAGTAATTAACAATAACTTCGCTGTAAACTAGATAAAATTTACTTTAAATGCAAATACATTTGGTACAGTCAATCCAGATACCTATCCTTCCATAATAAACTTCTGGGCCATCCGAACCCTCTTGTTTTCAACCTTTTTTTCTTTTCTATTCCTGATATCCCTCCGAGGCCTCTGAAAAGAAGATGGCCTCGGGACCTTTTAATATAGAAATATAATTGGAGTGCTACCAATGGGTAGTTTCACTTCATGTTGCACGATGATTTAGGATTTATCATTATTTTTATTTTATTTTTTTTTCTTCTTTATTTTATTTTATTTTAGAAGTTCATTTGGTTATTAATTTCAATCCATTTATTGATTTTATTGCTATTTTTTTAAAAGTTTATTTATATATCTATTCTATCTTATTATCTATAAGTGTCAATTGTTATTTTTATTTATTTATTTCATTATATCAATCCTTTTATTTAATTATTTTTATCCGTTTTTTTATTCTTATTTTTGGACCAACCATCTAAATAGTATAAAAGTAGTGTTATTTAGTTGGTCGGGCGCTGATGACCTGGATGGTTTGCGCCAAGACATCGAAACAAACAAACTTCATGTTGTACATGTCATGTTACTAGTTTCATATTTATATGTCATATTTATCATTTAATACAGTCGTAAATTTCAATAATCAAAATAAAAAATATGAGAAAGTCTTTTTAAAGGTAGGGTATCTGTTTTGGATGATATAAATGATATAAAATGATATGATGATATAAAATATTTGGATGATGATAAAAACGTCGCGAATAATTTATCTTCGTTTTTTAGTTTAATTTAGCCACTAAAAGTCTTCTTTAAATGGATTCAACTATGACAAACTCTATTTGAATTTAAAGCAAATTTTGACTAGTTTAGATTGAAGCCACCGTTAATTACTTAAATGAAATAAATCTTTTTTTACCGCATCCTATTCGACAAAAAAAAACGTCTTACCTAAAATCCCTCTACTTACGAGACACCCTGTATATTCTTATTAGGAATGTTAAAATATAGGAAATGGAAAGATATTTTTTAACTAAACCTCGTATGTTTTATGCTGTATTTATATACACATAGTTATTTATTTAAAATAAAAACAAGAAAAGTATATTTTCTTTTATTATAATATTTAGAAAACTTGGCAGTTGTACGCCGGTACCGCAGTTATCAGTGCGTGCCTCGACTTTCAGCCGATGCGTTACCTAACGTTCCAATCGACCTTCACGTCACCAGCGATACACTTTCTAACCTCTTATTTCCACGGTGTCTTATTTATTGTTAAGTTGCCTTATTTTATATTTCATTATGCTTTTATACCCAGCAATTCTATAGTTGGGCAGAGCGCTTAGGGTTGGTATAAGAAAGGATCGAAAAGATATTTTAGTTGTACATCCCCCTTCCTCCAAAAAACGTGAATATATGAATACAATTAATTCTCAAACAATTTGTGAGATTATGAAAGTAGTTAAGTAAATCACTAGAGTTTAGTTTAGAATAATAATTGGTAATAAAATAGTTCGAATCATATAGTTAGTATTGTATAATACTGAAGATTGTGTCTTTCATCAAATACTACAGTTACCTACAATTGCTTAGTAACTCGACAAGGTCTTTTTCTAACTATTCAAGTTTTTTCCAACTATAGTTCAAAGAGTACCTTTAGTCTATTACCTATACTTGAGAAACCTCAATATAACCCATGAAAAATCTTGTGTTCAGTATTTAATAAGAAATGACTCTTTCTCAATCAAGGTTGATTAACATTTGTTAACCACCATTTTTTTCCACAACTAAGGGTTCTTACTAATAAATACTGGGTGTGACACTAAGAAAGTCTTCCGCTTCCTCGCCGTAAAATCATAGTTACACGCAAAAAATGACCTCCTGGATTATGGCGTTTTCATTAGCCACAGGTCAAGTACCTTACAAAGCCATTTGTGGAGAAATAAATATCAAGTTTATTTTTAAGGCTCCAGACAAAAAATGAAAAGGAATCCTTTGTGAGGGTCTGTTAGTAAGTGAGGCTAAAGCCGAATTAATTTTTGAAGACTTCAAACAAAATAAATTAACATATGAAAATATATTTTTTTTAATCATCAGTTGAAACATTAGCCATATGAAATATCATATTACCGAAAATCAACTGGATAAAAAATATATTTAGATTTCTCCATGTTATAAATGTCAGCTCATTACTAAATTGTTATACCTGAGTTGAATAGTATTAATATAATTGAGTAAATATATCCCCTAGGAGAAAATTCCATTAAAATAAATGTTAAAAAAAAGGACTAGGGTGGACTTTAAATGTAAATAATAAGCTTCCTTGTTGATATAAAGGTTCCAGTTTTTTGTTAGATTGAAGAACAATGCCTTTTATTGACAAGTGTATGAACAAAGTTCCCAAATAAAATTTTAAAATACCTATCATTTTTGTTTCTATGGTGCTCTTGAGATCAGTGTGTTTCATACCTACTGACAGTTTTGCTGAGAATAAGTTGAACATTTATGTTATCTTATCATTATAGTTAAATAAAGATTTCAGGATTTTTCTGTGGTATGATTATTACGGGTACCAGCCCCATGTCCATTACTAGAACAATTGAATATCGAGTATACTTTACTAGTGCAAAAATGTGTTGTTTTTTTATAATGGAAATTATATCTGTACAACTGAATTTTTTTTTTCAATTTCAAAATGTTAAATAAAAAAAGGATACGCTAGAGATTATAAACGAAAAACGGAGAAGTTTAATGACTATAATAATTACAGCAAAAGCCAAAAAACACAAAGATTTCCTTAGCTATGCCCATCATTGGTGCTCTTACTCTATTCGTTTTCGATTGAATTCATTTTTCCTAGAATTAAAATAATCACAAAATTTAATAAAATTGGCATAAAGTTTTTGGTGTTCCGGAGATTGTATATCGAACTATCATTGTTTTATAATCCATCGAGATATAATCACATTTCCGCTGATGTGAGTTTTTTCAGTCTCTTATCTCATTTAATATTTCTAGCCTAGCAATTCAACAATTATACTTTCTTGTAATGTATTTCATGATAGTTATATGTCTCAGTGTGACTTTAAGGCATGATAAGGCATGATACATAGTGTCTATTTCCACCATCGATAGCTTTGTAGATTAAATTTACAAAAATATAATTTTGATGAAACTTCATATTCCAAATAAATAAAATGATATATAACTGGCGATCTTGATACAAGAACTAAGCAAGTCCAATTTTTCATATTTTTTCTCATATGGAATTCCTGCAATGATATAACTGTTTCAATCTATACAAGGACCGGACATTAACTGAATACGAGGCCTCGTATGTATAGAAAATAATGAGAGAAAGATTTGATCATCAGCTAAAAAACCTCGGATATCTGTTAGTGAAAAAATAACAGACATTTTTTTACTTTGTTTTTTTACACCGATATGGGCAAAACCAAGGAAAATCGTTTACTTGCTGATTTATTCAAAGCATAACCAAAATGGTTAGTAAATCTGAACTTATCTGGTTCTTGTATCTAGGCCCACAATTTTGAAAATTAATATATTACGAACACTTTTATTTTTATCAATAATGTAAAGTTTGCTTTTATTTAGAGGTCGTATGTTTTCTGGTAAGATATCAAGGTATTTTCTGTTTATTTTAATACAACTGAAAGTTTGAAAGTGTTCTCCTTCGCTATAGTTATTTCGGAATTTGCGACAAAGCTAATATCAGCAAGAAGAAGAGTCAAATAGGACGTTGTTATTTAAAACAAATATATATAAAAACGATAGCTACGACTGAAGAAATGACGTATCAAATAAATATGAAAGCAATTATCCCAGTAGTAGTTACATAATGCCTAGAAAAGCTATCAAGCGATGTTACTAATCCCTCGGGTACCGCTAGGACTTCCTCCAGTTCTAGCATCTTATATTACATTTGATTTCTCTGGAACTAGGAAACGACTCCATCACTCCAACCTACGCAGTCCCCCCAGATCTGTGCCACTCCAACCGTAGGTTGCCACTTGGCTGCTGCTTCGGAACGCTTAAGCAGGCTATAATTTCCTTGAATGTTGAATAATTTCCTTTTCTAGTCAGTTTTCCTCAAAACCACAATTTTCCACTTTTCCTCGATATGACAGGCAGTTTAATCAGGATATCAAATCTGTTGCTAAGTAATTCGGTAAGTATTGATCCTCCCATTCAAGAGATCCAGCTTCAAATCATTGTATAATAATAAATATTTACATATAATGTAATGGAATACATATATTAAATCTGTAGTTAATATAATGTTTTGAGGGTCTCTGATAAAATGTATTTTTATACTTTGTTGAGCCTGAACGGGTAACAGAAATAAAGAGACGGAGCGAGTGTAATTTGGGTGATAAAAATTTGTAATTTTCACACGTGTAGGATTTTACTGTTAACACGGATCGGGCTGAAGCCCTTCCCCCCAAAAATGGTAAAATATAACTCGAAAAAAATATTTAAAAATTATCTCTTAAAGTATAATTATTCGTGCACATTACATTTAAAATGGTTTTAGGAATCACTTAAACACCAGTTCTTAGTTTCTATAGGTAATTTCACTATAGGTACTTAGTTTCTTTCTTATTTTCCAAAGTAATTATCGTTACTTTTACGAAAAAAAAAGCTTTCGGGCTGAAGCCCCCCCCAAAATTAAATCCTGGATCCGCTAGTGACTGTTAATATGATAATGTCGTTGTATATGGGATGATCTGTAATAAACCAAAATGTATTTACTATTTTGCAAAATATTTCAGGTTTTGTTTGTATATACCTGATGCAAGTGATTTTTTATTAAAAAATAAAATAATAAAAATCAAATTTTGATATATACTACTACATCGTGTTTACCTGCAAATGTTACCCTGTGTTCGTGACAGGTCCATCTGATGTTGGTTTCAGGAGACAATTCAAAGAGAAAGACGTTTTTTTAACAGATAACATTAAATTTAACGAAATAATTATCTACGTGATTTAAATATAACCGTACAATTTGTTATTGAGAATTACAAAATATTCAGAAACATATTTTATTCATATAAACAAATATAATATATATGTCAATATCAAGAAAGTTTATACAACAAACAAAATTAGTGAAATTCTGTACTTTATAATGACTATATAAAAATATCAATTTATTTAATTAATAATTATTCAACCCACCGGTTGTATGAGAACTGCCTTCCATAATAAATCAGTGCTTTAGTTTTATTTTTATTCTGTTTCGGTATTACTGATTTTTTTTCCCTTGTTATTTCGGAACTAGAACTATTTGAACTGCTTGAAAGTTTTCAGATACCTTTTATTTAAAAAAAAAACTTTAAGGGCCAAACCATTCGAGTGAAACTTTCTCCATAGACCTGATTGTTTTTTTTCCTTAAAAGTTTAATATACTGTTAAAAAAGTATCATGAATGTTTTTTAGCTTTAGAATAATTTTAAAAAACAACAGGCGCATATGCCCTCCATCGCCCATTGGGATTTTACAGTTGTTTTTTATTAATTTTTATTTATGAATTTTTGTCATGGTAGTTACTTCTCACATGTATATAATCATATTTCGATTATTTTTGGGAATTTAAACAAAAATAAGCTTGTCTGTGGATCTTAATGGAAGGTGTATACGTGATATATAAGGTCATATCGTTTCTTATCTAACTTGACTTTGTTTAAAAATTTGAATTAACAAAAGTTAAACTTTCACCGTAAACCTAGAACTCTTTTACAAAAAAGATTCCTCAGAACGTTTATTTTGAGAACTTATTTCCTGAAATGTTTCACTGAAACTGTTAAAATGGAACTTCTTTAAAAAGATTCGATAAAAGTTCCAACCCTTGCCATTCATAACATTACAAACATATTAAACAGCCGATATTAATAAAAATATTAAAACATAATGTAAAGCTCTTATTTTGTTACGTTGAAGTACAAATAAGAGAATGGCATTAAAATTAAAGTAACTAATATAAACTAACATACTTCACCAAGATCCTTTTTCTGAAATCATCATCATAATTTATCTCAAACTATTTTAAATGAAACTCCAAAATTTTATTATTGTTAAATTTTAAATACACCTTATGATTGAAATCCAAAAAACTATCACATTCTATACATTTCAAGCAAAATATCATGAACGAATCTAGAAAGTGACCCTCCAAGACACTAATTACAAATCAATTTGATCGAAGATTCGTAAAAGATAAGACAATTAATCAGTCTTGAGAAATGATCTTTCACAAGTGTTGATGAAGGATACGAAAGGATCTTGCATTCAATGGAAAAAGGACCTGGGAACATCTTTGGGATCCTTTGTTTGTTCTCGGATCCGAAGTTTCGGAGAGATCCCTTGACCCGTCTTCAGGTCCTTGGCGGAGGCGTTATCTTCACCTCAAGTAACCAGCAGGTGAAGGGACTCCGCTGACGCAACGAGCATCAGATCTGTAGGGTAATAGGTTGCAGGTGCCTGATGAGGCCAACGATTCGTGATCGAAACGTCCCAGTAGTAGCGATTTCGTACTCACGTAAGGATCAATAGGGAAAAGTTTTAATACAGCAATTTAGGAGCGATAGGTGCCTGACTAATTCAAGGAGCTGAGTCCACTTCTGTTTTGTCTATACTTAAGCAGATTACAAGATACGTCAACATGTAACATCAAATTGAATTGTATAACACAATAAACACAATATTTTTCTCACACTAGATGATGCTAATGTACAGACACATATAATTATATTTGGAATATTGAAATTTTATTTTATTTTTTTATTCTCCATATGTGTATTTGTAACAGAATTAATTTGTATGCCTTTGAAATTGAACGTAACAATAAAAAATATTCAGTGAAGATACTTTTGTTTTCTATTTGCATACAGTAGAAACGACTTCTCTGTGGAGGTAAAATCAGATAAGACTAATTACAGATCATTAATCAACACGAACTCGTCAACAGTTTTTAATTTATTTAAAATCACTCTAATATTTTTCTGAACAATAATGGAAAGTCATTTTTCTAAATACTTTTGAAACATGATTGATGGTTAGACAAATAAGGGGTGTATTTAATATTACTTTAGGTGAATTCCAGAAGGACTAAGAATATTTATGTAGAGCTGAAAAACAAAAACAAATAGTTTCTAACAAAAAAAAAAAACGATTATAATGCTAGCTGCTCCCTAGCAATATAAATAAATAAGAGTTTACAATACACAAATAAAAAAAAAGGAATTGACTCTATATATATTTAGTATGCGAGTGATCAAATTTTCTGAAAACAATGATTGCTTAGGAAAACATTTAATTCGGATTTTGCCTTATTTTTAATATTTTTAATATGATTAATATAATATCATACAGTGACGGCCTGGGGCACCGATATAAAGAGGCGCCCAATAGCGGCGCTGGCCGAACTTTAAAATTAAAAAAAATTACAGAACGTATTAAAATAATTAATTTTATCTTATCAATAAAGCAAACGTATTGGAAAAAAATTGAATGAAATAAAACCATTTTACATAATATTGAACAGCTTAAGAAATAAATTAATTTTTTTAGGGGAGGAGGGAGAGGAGATGAAATCATTGTCCAGGGGGCGCCGAATGTCTAAGGCCGGCTCTGATATCCTATATTGTCGGAAAATGTATGCTATCCTCAAACAGCTCCTGAGATTCCGCGATTCTATACCCCTTAACCACGGGTTCCAGTTTTTATTATCATTTTTTTCTCATTTGGATTATGGCTGCCTTGAATACGATAGACTGTCTGATGAATATGAGATTAGAGTAAAGAGATAAATGAATAATTCCACAAATCTATATTCCTTCTCATATAAATGGCTCCTTAAAAATATTCTTTATAAGGTATAATGCTACCTCATTTGGAATTACTACCCCATCTCCATAAGAAAGACCACAAATTTAACTTCATTTAAACACCAATTGTTTCTCCATCTCCTCACTTATCAATCTTCAAAATATATGTAACAATTATTTTTTTCGGATTTCAATATTGCCGGCCTTATTTTACTGTTACTTCACAGTTGTTCCTTATATTACATACATATCAATATGTAAACATATTAAGATTTATTTATCTATTGTGTAATTTAATTATTTTTATTTGTTTACTTACGCTTGTATGTTATTTATTTTAGTCAGGTACCGGCCACTAAGGACCACGCGAATATCATTAATTAGGCTACTTTGGGAGTCATGATTTTATTTCCTCCCATCGCAGTTTCATAATTTTCGACTGCATTTATTTCCTTTCTTCGGACCACTTTGTACCCCTCCTTTTTTCTCTTCCAATATTGATGTTTTCAAGATATTTCAATGTTTTCTTGCATGTGTCTCTATCTACACAGTCGGCATCTGAAATTTTAACGTTCTTTAATTCTTCTCTTATTTGTTTCGTGTATCCTCTCATGCTTTTGTAGCATAAAAACTTTGTTAAAGATATTTTTGTTCAATCTCTCCTCCTTCATCATTTTCATGTGCCCATAGAACATCAACCTTCTGATTCTTATCTCGGTTTCCAGGTTTTTGATTTTTTTGTAGACATCGTTAGATCGTCGCCTGTAATCATCTTGTGTTTTCCTGAGGCCATAAATTTTTCTAAAGATCCTCCTTTTTATTCTTATCAGCTTTTCCAAGTTGGGTAGGCATGTGGTCTCCATTCCAAATAAAATCAAATACTTTATCACAACGTTGTAATTCCTCAACTTTGCATTGGAGGAGAGATCCCTTTTATTGTAAATTTAGCCTGTTTGAAAGCTTATTTTTGCGATTTTCTCTCGGATGCTGTCTTTATTAGAACCGTTGTAACATATTATTTTACCCAAACATATCCCATATTTTATTTTTATTTTGACGTTTCATAACTCAGTTTTAAATTCTGATAGGTTTAATTATTTCTAAAAAAAAAAATTGTTTTCTTTATTTTTAAACTCACACCTGTTGGGAATATCAACAATCAGCGAGTGTGCTGTCGGGGAGAAGAGTACAGATTAAGACGTGTTGGTAGGCGTGAGGGAAAGTAGAAATTATTTTTCTTTTTTATTAATAAAGATATCATCAAGATTACAGTCACAGATAAATGGAAAACGTAATGATATATTTAATTATCCTAATCTACTTATAATATTGTATGGTAATGTAATGGATCGTGTTAGTTTTTACCATTTAAAATACGATATCTACACCATATATACACAATCAAATAATCCTTACGAAGGACTGCTGGAAACATGTTTTTGATTGCTAAAAATATTCATAACGACGAAGTTAAATAGCTATAAAACTGGAATATTTTACGTGTTTGAAGAAGACTTTAATTGGACTAAATCTTAGGTATCTTTCAATACGGCTTAATATTTTTAAATAGATACAGAAACTAAGACTCTTCGTAGAAATATGTAGGCTAGATTGCTTACTGATTAATCAAGGGTATAATCTAACTCTCAAATCCTGTAAGTCGGCAATAACGAGAACTATTATCTATTATAACTATATCGAGAGCTATTATTGGAATAATAATTTTTTTAATGGTTAGCCAGGTCATTGAATTTTATAAAGTGTTACTAACTCGAATTAGCAAGAGTAGTCGCACTAATTGGCAATCTATGACGGCAGCTTGAAAGTGGTTCAGTACACTCGCTGCAATAAGTAATGCTCTAAATACTACGGGCTTATTCGGCGTTAATAGCTCGTGATACTGGCTTTCTGTTTTATAAAATAAACTGTTATTATTACTAATAAGGATATTCTTAATTATGATCTATTGTATTAGTCAATAAGTATACAAAAAAAAAAAAAAAAAGATAATGGCTAAAGTAAAAAAATTCAAACAATCTAATAAATCAAACAGTAGGAACGAGAAGGAATTAAGAAAGGCTGGTATCCTTTCTTTGACTGCCTGGGTAAAATATTGCTCCTTAAAATTTATTTAAAAAGAAAACTTACCAATACACCTAAAGGCAAAAGTTCTGGAAACAATTGTCATATCGAGTCTCAGCTAAGAAAAACAATGAACCCGCGAAGGAAGTATTAAATCAACTACATACTAATTGGAGAAAAATTGAAACATTTGAATATAGAATGAGTTGATAAAAAAAAGGAGAAAAGTTACAGAGGAGGTAGGTGATTTTAAAACTAAAATGACTATGGACTGTGCACTCAAATATGAGGTTAATGAAAAATGGACAAAAAAAATTAATAAAGAATAGAACTAATGAAATTGGGAGAGGACATAACAAATATAAGAGGCATAAGCCTTTTATAAATATTGGGCTTAATTCAGTAATATACAACCTATAAAGTTTTCATTTTACATAATTCTAATTTCTAAGTTTTGTTCTTTCCTTCCCGCTTCTACCATAAAAGGTAATTTGCGTTTAACTATAATTTAGATTCTGTTGTTATACTTAGTAATATTTAAAATTTAAACACAATAAATGCAAAATCGTCCTTCTGCATCTTGCAAAATTTATCTTTTTGATATGCCTATTTTTTCTGTCATCTTTTTTCTGCAATCTTTCAGTAAGTGTATCGCTGTTTGAAGTTGTTTTCTCCTTCTGCTGCTCGCCTTTTATACTATACGAGGTTTTCCTTCGCCAAGGAGTGAGGGCGAGGGATTAATGCCATGGTCAAAACCCTCCTCCCTCCGACACCGCGACGAGAACTTGTCATCATTTTATCAAGTTATAATCTGTCTATGATGTGAACACGCATTTGTCTGCCTGCTCCAACCCGTCCCTCTATACTTCAGAAGCCGCTGCTAAAGAAGAACTCTTAAAAAAGTAGCTATTTGTAAACCGACAGTATCCAATCCTTAATCGGTACAACATATCTTCTACTCTCTTCGAAATTCCTCAGCTAGCTCCCTGGCTGTTGAATAGCTCATTAATTACTAAAATAAGGTTTTGGTCCTATTAGTTTACAGTCCTTGCTTTTCCATTTCTGCCATCTAAAGAAATATTACATTCTGTCACATTCAATGACACTAGTAATACTGACAGAGTAGCTCATTCACAATCTGTGTACAATAAATAAAAGCAAATTAAAAATAAAAATAATAATACTAAAAGTAAATGTATACAAACTAAGCTGTTCAAAATAACATCTAAATACACATATACGTTTATACAATATTTATAAAATTCATTTATTCAGGAACCCATAATCTACTAGATGTATATTCTTTATTTTCTATATATTTTTTTTTTTTTTTTTTTTGTGCGTGTCCTCCCATTCCTCGCCTTTTAGGCTATACGGTATTTTACCGGCCATAGGTGAGGGCGGAGAATTTAATGCCATAGTTAAAAACCTCTCCCCTCTCCCAGAGCACCAGGATGCGAACTCGTAATTATTATTTTATCTATAATTATCTTTGATGCTGGTTATCGGGTAACGCGCGGTGTTGAACACACGCATTAGCCTGCTCGGCCACCCCGCCCCCGCTATACCCAATATTCTAAGGTAACATCTTTTTATCTAGTTACCACTGTTTCTTCTTCACTTCAAGTTAAATGTGCATGCCCTAAATGCCTCATAGCAAGACTACTGACACACGTAATTTATTAGTTTTATTACTCATTTTATTTACACGTCAATTCGATTCCTTTTAAATTGAAAAAATACATCATTATGTAATAGAATGGATAAAGTCATTATGTATTTACTATGTCCTTCAACTTGTCTTGAAATAAAACATAAATTCAACGAACGGAAAATTACAACGTGACCCATAATCATAAAAGGTTATCCATGTTGCAAGGCCATACCTCAGGATAGTGATCTCAAAAGCAAACGGATGTTGGGTGTGGTTACTGGTATTTTAATAGATCTTAGTTTCTTTTTTTTTTCTTGTACGTATATCTGTTTATATAATTTTGAGCTAAACCTTAACCAAGATGAAGGTTTTTGCCTTAAGCCATTAACTGTTTCTCATTTAAGTTAATCAGTACAAATCGTAGTCATGATCATACCTTAGCTATAAAATCAAACATTTATTCAATTCAACTAAATGAAGTATATTTTCTTTAAAGTATAACGTATTTATTATAATGACTTCAGAAATGAGCTCAACACTTTCTGGCTTTGATTCTTCAACTCTCTTCCCTCATGGGTTAAAGGTGAGATGAAAACTATAAAAGGCAGGAAGACAAGAAAGCTGTGCAGGAAAACGTACAGATTGAAAACTTCCCACTTCACTTTTCTTTCTTTTGTTTTCGCTAGAGCGCAATGACTTTCCCCTAGCTCTGACCAACTAAGGCATTTCCAAAGGCATCGAAGTCGGAAAAGCTATTTCCTGGGAGCTACACAGAACAGATAGATAATTAAAATTGGAATGATTATTCAGGATTGATAAGTAACGCCCCCTTATTCGTATTTAAAATATATTGAGAACAAAAAATGTTTACACTAGTCATACATATGAGATAGTATATTTGTATATAAGTTTTAAAGATAGTCCAATTTGATTAATATGAATGCTGTGTATTTAGCACCCCAATGCAAATGGATAGCACTCTTCTATGAAAATAAGGTGTTCTTCTATCTCTTTGAAAAAAACTTTAAAAAAAAAAAAGAATTATTTTTAAATACATGGCAAAATCAATCATATATAAATAAAATCGTAATGAATAAATTAAATATATCTATCTAGAAAACCTTTTATAATTTTCTCCTTTTATGATAAAAAGAACTTAAGATGAGTAAATATCAATATTATATTTTTTAAAATTATAAATTCCCTAAAATTAGTTTTTTAAAAAGGGCATTTTAATTTTAAAACTAATTTACAGATTGAAGATGAGTAAATAATAAAATGAACGACCTTGTAATACAATTATACATAAGAACAATATTTTGCAAAAAAAAAAAAAATAAAAACATTTTTATTTATTTTAGAGTAAGTCCTAATTTCTTGCATAGTCATAGTATTAATTAATGAAAGTATGTTTTAATTGAAGGAAGTTAGTCAACTGTTCTATATATCATGGGAAATAAATATTCTGGATGCAGTCATTATAAAGTTTTTATTAGTGCCAATGTCTCAACCCAAAAATGTGGGGCATCATCAGGGCGTGGTTCGGGTACTGAAGGTATTCAAGTATTTTACAATCACTGCGTCCTGAATATTTATCACCCATGAAAGTAGTTTTTATTGTGGATCGGGGTAGCTCAGTGAATAGGGCACTGACTTCTGAGCTGGGTTGAAATGGTACATGATTTGTTTTATCAAGTCTAAGCTTAATTTATTATTAATAAATTATCAAACCAAATTAAAGAACCAATTGTCAATATATTACATAAAAAAATCAATGATCTTAAAAATGTAGGTTTATTGTAGAGCAAACATGAATTAGAAAAGTGTCGATCTTTAGAAATTGGAAAAAAAAAATAAGGAAATAGTATATATGAAATAAAGTAGCAGTAATAGTGGCCTATTTTTTGCATATTTAAGTCACTGTTTTCAGAAGAAATGTTAAATAAAAAATCCAAGTCAGTACCAAAAAAAAAAAAACTTAAATCACATTAAGAAATAAACTTCAAACTCGATGACACATTGATAGCTACCATTCGGATTTATTATTCGATTGAAAGCGAAGTTATTTTTCTCGGCCACTTTCGAACCTTGGCGAGCCTCCAATTTTCCGCAGTTTTTTATTGAGTTTTCTTTGAGCACATACCCACGAGGTACATACGCCGTCCCAGCATAGGATGTGACATCACTGCCCATTCACGGCTGACAAAAAGTCTAAGGGACCATGGTAAAGAAACTCGTTCATAGGCCTTTCTTCCTCGAGGCGGGTGACATCCCTTTCGATATACTCTTAGCGGCCAACAAAAGAATTATTACGCTTATAAGAAAGAATTAGGAACTGTTCGCAGCAGTCAGCTTGGTAAGGGATATCCTAATATTAATATTTACATGTGGTTCTTCAAACTCATACCGAATCAAAACATTGGGCATATAAGAAATGTGCAACAAAAATGTTAAACCGACTCAAAAATGTTAACATAAAAAATTGAACAATCATCTCATTCTTTAAGGAAGATTGAGAGCACAGAATTACAAAAAGATATAAGACCACTCTTATAGAACAAGAATAATGTTTATTGATAAATTTAGTGGAAAACGAGTAGCTTCAATTTTAGAGACTTTCTATTATTATCGTCTACTAGACTAGACCCTTCCTTCAATGGATTAGTGGAAATATCTGGTGGTCAAATCCAGGTGATGATATGAACTAGTACTTTAGAATATGACCAATCCAGAAAGTGACCAATACTCCTCATGGTTTTAAGGCCAATAATACAGATTCAGCTTTTTTTTTTTTTTAATATACATCATTAAATTTTTTTCTTAATTTAATTGGAAACAGAAAGATGCCATTATAATATATAACTTTGATCTAACTGAATTTAAAATCACACCGGATACCAAAGCAAATTATAGCCAAAGCCCAATGCTAATCATATTAGTTCTCAATCAGACTCTTAGAAAGGCTAAATGAAGAATGTATTCCTACTATTTAGAATACAGGAAATTAAGATCTCACTACATGTTGCTAATAAATGGAGATAGCAGCATTCATCAGTAATGGTGGACATCTACAGTTTTACCTCTCGTTTCATCCAAGACGCACCAAAATAATGTAAGATAGGAACGATATAATACAGATTCAATGAAACGTATAACTTGCTGTTAAAAAGATCGAAAAAATCAAGAACTTAAAATATCAAGGAACTTTACTAGGATATCGTAATTGAATATGAGAAAGGTGTTTTAACAGTTTAAAGTGAGAATATCCAGGGAGCATAAATGTTTTCAACCGCAGAAAAATAATAGCGTATAAGATCATACCTTTCGCTATTGACTTGGAAGGGATTCGTGGGTTTACTGTACCAAGCATAAAGTCAAGACTTATTAGCTATAAGCATGAAGGTAAAAGCGCTATTTGAGAAAAAAACACGAGGAAAAATTAGGACAAAAAAAAGAGACCAATATCTTAATAGGATAACTGAAGAACATTGGTTCAGGTGATTTGGACAAGGCTGAAGTCTGAAAAAAAGTGCGGCGCTAAGCACAGAAGGAATGAGTAAAAGGAGATAGAAGTATGGAGGCCGAGAATAAGACCAATATCTTTCAAAATAACATGTTATATTTTTTTCCATATCAGAAGTTGATATTAAAAAGTTTTAAGCTATTTAAAGCATTAAAACTATGATAATTAAATGGAATACCAATACATTATTATCAGTGAAGCCAAAAATCGGTCTGTGAACATCTGTATCGGTCTTGTATCGATCTTGCGAAGTGCAAGACCAAGACCGCCTAGTTGTTGCAAGACCCAGACTGTTAAAAAAAAAAAAACTATTTGTGAATACAAATTAAGGCAAAATAGTTACTAACGCTAGACAGTTTTAGTTACTACATGTAAAGAATTAGTAGAACCAATATTGCATTTAACTCTTCCAATTTTTCATTCAGGGCTAGTAAGGTTTCCCCATTATGAAAAATTCCAGTAATATAACTACAGTAATAAACTAATAGGTAACAGCAAGACTGTTGCAAGACTCTAGTGCAAGACCAAGAGTCGTCTTGGTCTCGCATTTGAGCAACACTAGTTTTTATTCTGGTTTACGTTCTCCATTTTTGTTTTATTTTTCTGTTTGAAATACCATGAAAATACAACAGGGCAATATAATAGCCTTTCTTATGATGATAACTTTCTTATATCATGATAAATTTTCTTGAGTCTAGACTAACCCGATTTTTGCAGTATGAGGCTCTATACTAAATTGAAAATTATTAATTATTACCTGAGTCACATTAAATGAAGAACTCTGTTGGCTTAAAATACCGAAAAGCGAAATATTCCATGTGTCAGACTGAATGAGGTATGAGGCAAAGGCATTGTGTCCGGGTTGCGTCAGAGCAAAGCGCATACTTAACGCCACTTATGTAAAATATGATCCGGCCCACGATTAATTCACTGTGGCTTTTTCAAGCGAGTTGAAACGACAGTGTTTCTTATCGATAAATTAATAAAGTTTAAAAAGAATTATATAACAGGTAATTAAAAAATGTCTGCGAAATTGATTATCTTTTTTACCCTTGGTTAAATGAAAAGAAAACAGTTTAAGTAAAACTAATTGGACTTTCAATAAAAAAAAATAATTATATTATGAACATCCGAAACACGTATTATATGGGATTCCGAACTTCGTGTCAATCGCATGGAAAGAAAAATGAGGAATAAAATTGTGTATATAAAAAAAAAAAAAACCTGTACCACTACAACCCATGGAGGATCTTGAGTTCAGCACTATTTAGAGGATGGACTGTTTCTTAGTTAACGGTTCTACAAGAAGGTGATTTGACTGAGATCACGCTCAACTGCCAGGTTTTCCACCTTAAACAATTATTTAATTAACGGGTAATTAAGCGGTAAGGATCCATTTTAGAAAGTGTGGGTATGCCCCGGGAGGTTTTCTTGATCCCAGGGTCGCTCCACGGCTGATGAAACAGAATATATATTTTTTCCGCCATGAATCTGGATTAGTATTAAAAATTAATAAATCCCAAAAAGTTATTATTAGGCTTGCAGAAAACTCCTGTGATGACTCAACTGAGCTATTTTTTCACCTTTGACTTGACCAAGATCTCTCCTAATTAATAAATATTTCATGCCCGAACCAAGTTCTTAAAAAATCACTCGATTTTTTCATCAGAACCAATACTATCACTACACGAATTAACGCGTAACCTTAAGTTTTATTTTGTAGATAATTTCTTACCTATTACAAATAGATGAGTGGAGGAATAAATTAATAAAAAGTCACGGAGAAAATGTGCGGATGGAAGGAAAATTTATATTGGTTCATTATTCAAAATAATAAACCAAAAGTGAAATACATTAAATATTTTCGTTCCAGACGTATTATTTTCTTTAATTTAAAAAAAAAAAAAAAAAAAACTCATCCTGTAGCAATTCTCGTTGTATAAGCTGATGTTGATGAACTGGGAAGGCACTTAGGCACCAAAAGGCAGGGAAGGATATGCTGAAGAAGAAAAGCAGCTAATTAGAACTAGAGCAGCGGAAAGTGAAACAAAAGAAAGTGAAAATGAATTAAGCTACAGGTAAACAAGGTTTTAACCTCAATTCCGTTAAAAGCTCAGGTGGCAGAACTGGCAACGAACCTGCTCTTTCTTCTGACGTAACCTCCAGCCAATTTCAAAGATGGTAAACAATTTAAAGGAAACATATTCTTCCAGATTGATATATTTTTTATTAACACAAAGATAATATCTATTAACCCCAGGAAAAATCTAAAATGAATATTTAGAACTTGTGGCAAAATTATTATTATTATGCCCCAAGTTCTGAACATCTTTAGCGAGGGCTCGAAATGTTATCAAATAATTTTATTTCAATAATGATAGGATTGAATGAATCTTAATGATTTAGCTTCGAATTACATACTTAAAACTATTTAATTTATTTAATGATAATACATAATTAAAAAGTATATTTTAAGCTCTTAAGTTCTGTTAAATCATTCGTTCATAGCTCCGCCTTTCATTCTATTTTTTTATATACATATGATGTATTAATTTTAAAAAACAAAACAAATTCTGCTGAAATGAAATTTTTTTTATTAAAAACTTTAATGTTTTTTTTAACATTTAATTTTTTACACAAATCTTCCATTTTATTGATATTCCTGTTATACTAAAAATCGAGACAAAATTGTCGGAATCAAAGCTATAAGATTTAAGTAGTGTTTACTAAAGGTTCAGAGGTGCCTAAGTGTACAGGAAAATGGATTTAAAATGTTTTTTTTTTAGTTTCTGTTTTAACAAAAACAATGAAAAAAAATGAAATTTAAGTACATGGACACGATGACGGACTTATTTACGGACTCGGCAACATCAGGATGAGGTGCGGCTGGGTACTATACTTCATCATGTCTAAAACGTCATTTTTCTTAAAAATATGAACACATCTACTTATTGTCAACTTAATGACACCTGTGGATTTAGATCTGAAGAAAAAAATGTTTTTTAATAAATTATTATAATTTTTATTATCCTCAAAAAGTTGATAAAATTAGGATTAAAGAAAGATATGAAAATAAATTACGAAATATAATTAGGATTCGGCAATTACAGATGAATTATCCCGAGCCTAAGTTATCAGAGTATAGTATCAATTAACATATCGGGGCTATTGTTCATAAACTATTGCACTGTCATTAATGATTGATTGTCGGACAATTAGACAATGGCGGGCCTAACATGTCAGTTGTCGGGTTCCCTTTTGTAATGGTAACCGCTCTTCTCTTGGTGGTCTTTCACAATGGTGTGGGTATCGCGAAGGACGAAAAAAAAAAACATCAATCATTGTCGAATTTAAAAAAAAAAAATAAATCAGTCCCATTGCAGCCTAAATATCAATGATCTATCATCTAAATATAAACTGTGGCACCGGTTTCATTAAAGGACATTTTACTCAATTTTTGAAAAAAAAATAATAAATAATATAAAATAATATTAAAACATTAATCTGAATTACAGAAAATTCTTCATAAAGCCATGAATTAATTTATTTTATTTTTTTAATGAGAGCGAAATCAGGAAGCATATACCAAACCATGGCCTACAAACTGGTAAACTATAACATAAAAAAAAATGTCAACAATTTTTAAGAGCGCCTTCGTAAAACCCTTCTG